CTGCAAAGATAACTGAAAGTCTCCCTGGACCTACAAGCACTCCAAAGCCAGTATTCGGGCTTACAATGGGAGGTCACTCAGGAAATACAAGACCAATCTAGATATAGTTAGAAAACAGGAAACTCCAGTTTACTACATTGATGCCATACACATCATCACACACAGTTGGTGCTTAATGGATTATCAGAAAAGTCATTTTGCTATCTGTAAAAACTCTATCCAATACTGAACAAAAATTCCGTAAGTCATCTATACATCAGCATTACTAGAACCCCATGTGGTACTGAAATATAATTGTATCAAAGAATTTTCCATATAAATGTTCAAGATCTCTTGCTACTTGAAAATAGAAGCTCTCAATACACCTTGTATTATGTAGCTTGTTCAATATTCTCATATTGTACTTTGCTCAAACTGCAATAGTTTTGTTGGGAAAGAAAAAAATACATTATTTTGCTTTTGTATTCTTGCTCATATAGTACTTAATAAATCACAGTAAATCACCTATTTCAACAATATTATATCTTGCCAAAGTATTAAATCTAGATACAAAATTAACAAATTATCCCATATAACTAAGACTGCTTTTCAAGGACTGAAGGAAATATTAACATGCTTCCATTAGTAAGCCACAGCAAGAGTTTGTGCTATTGCCTTTGTGTAGAGATCAAGACTTATGAGGGCCAAAGAGACTACTTTTTGTTTTATTTTCTCAGGAAGCACAAAGTGAGCTGGTTTCACCTTCAAAGAAATCACAACCGGAGTAAGAACCTCTAAGTTCACAACCAAATATTTACTGAGTAAGACCTAAAGACAGAATCTGATACTATACTGTGGAACGCTTTGAAGAAGGGAAATTTCCTTTGAGCAACCAACCTTTGTACTGACATTGAATTAATCTTGAAAAACAAGATCGTGTTCCAAATCCAAAATTCTTTTTATGATATATGGAACATTCTTATCAATGCTATTTCCTATTCAGCAAAGTATGAACATTCTTCTACGTGGGTAAAAGACACAAGAAAAACTAATTCACAAAGTTCAACATGAGACTTTATCTGATGTCAAAAATGTGCTAATTTTGACTTCCACATCACCTGCAACTTTCACAGGTACAAAGATCTTTTGTTCAGCACTGAAATAAACCTAATTGTAGACAAAGAAGGCATATAAATAAACACAAGTCATTAAAATAAATTTGTATTGGATATGCACCTACTATACACATGGCATGGATATGAACACAATCTTCCTCACTTCTTTAAGGAGTCACAACAGCATCACGTCCATTTACTCTGTAGATTTCCCAAATCTCTATCACGTTCCCACTAATTATTTCCAATTAGAGGGGTTGTACTGTACACTGCCTGTATCAAGTAAAAAAAAAAAAAAAGAAGTATTTGTATATACAAACTTGTGATTCATCAATGAAAAATATAATATCTATAACTAATTTATCTCTCTTAGCTTTAAGTGACAAGAAAACAGTCATGGAAAAACATTCCAGTCTTTTAAACATGACATCAGAGGGATGATGATGACCTGAGACAGATTTAAGGTGTAATTACCATTCTTGAAAACTTTATTGGTTTGTAACTTTGACCAATTTTCACCAAGAAAAAGCTAGATAAGGCACTGCATGTCTGACATAAGAGAAAAATATAAGAGGACCATGACTTTGACAATGACACAACCCACCAGCAGGACAAGAAAAAATAACATCAACAATCTATGCTGAATTATGGAAATGTTCTCTCCAATGGGATCGGGGGGTTGGGGTTTGGGGGGCGGGGAGTCGCATAAAACTCGTCACCTACAAATATGATCATAGCGGTAGTAGAAACATGGCATGGGCATATCTTCACACTCACACCTGTAGATGCACAGAGAATGGGTGGTGTCTCAGGCTCTCTCTCTCTCTCTCTCCCCACCCTCCCCCCCCCTGCCAGGAAGAGGAGGGGAGAGGGGAGCAAAAGAAGAGAGACGTCAGTGAAGGAGGTCATGCCTCATGGGTAGGCCGGGTTTGCGTAGTAGGCTTGACGCGGAGTGGGTGTGCCTACAGGGAATCAGTACAAAAAGCCACATGGGTGAGGAGGTGCAAAGGAAAAAAAGGAAAAAAAATTGTCTTAGTTTTCAAATTCAAACATAATTAATAATTTTGGACTTATATATATAAATAGAACTATATATAATTCTATATGGGATGGATGCATATATGTATGTGTGTGTGTGTGTGTGTGTGTGTGTGTGTGTGTGTGTGTGTGTGTGTGTGTGTGTGTGTGTGTGTGTGTGTGTGTGTGTGTGTGTGTGAGAGAGAGAGAGAGAGAGAGAGAGAGAGAGAGAGAGAGAGAGAGAGAGAGAGAGAGAGAGAGAGAGAGAGAGAGGAGTATGGCATATGTATGTATCTACATATGTGTACATATATATGTTTGTATGTACAGATGTGTACATATATATATATGTATGTATATAAATATATATATATATATATATATATATATATATATATATATATATATATATATATATATATATATATATATATATATATATATATATATACATGTACATACATAAATGTATATATATAGATACATATATGTATATGGGTATATATAAACATGTGTGTGTCAGAGATCATTTCTAAAACATGATCCCACTTGTCTCCCTCACAGCTGTCCCTTTCACTGCTGATGCACCACTCCCACTTCTCATGTTTGGAACACGTTCTGAGGGGCAGTGCACAGGTCTTGCAGCAAATTTCCTTTTGTCTCTTCTATCCCAAACATTTCAGATAGAGGACAGGAAAAATAAAAAAAAGTACACAGGGACCATGTTCTGAGAGAAAGAACAGCTGAGGAACAACACATATCTTGTGCTCTGCCAAAAAATCATGGATATGGAAGATCACATGAGGAGGGTGTTGTCATGAGGTTCATGCTTCACTCCTTATCCATGCTTTTCTGGTAAAACATAACCCTCATCCCACAGCCTTTCTTCTCCTCTTTTCCTTAGATTTGGTCCCTTCAGACTTTTAAGCTTCTAATGTTGAAATCCACCAAGAAAATGGGGGACATTAGATAACAAAAGAGACAAAGAAACTCGCTACAAGACTTTTGTCCTGAGCCTCATCACGAACTCCAGAAACGTAAAAACAGTGGGTATGATATACCATCAGTACTCTAAGAAACAGATCCAGGCCTATAACAACCCCCAACACTTGCACAGAGTCAGAAACCCCACATCTCATCAAAGAAGCGGCCTGCCTCTGACTCTGAGCAAGCGGTACCAGAGTATTGTGGTCTGCATCTTGGACTACATATGTGCGTGTGCATGTGCGTGTGCATGTGTTTGATTCTGTGTGTGTGTGTGTGTTTGAATCTGTGTGTGTTTGAATCTGTGTGTGTGTGAATCTGTGTGTGTGTGTGTGAAGCTATGTGTGTGTGTGTGTGTGAATCTGTATGTGTGTGTGAATCTGTAGGTGTATGAATCTATGTGTGTGTGTGTGTGTGTGAATCTATGTGTGTGTGTGTGAATCTATGAGTATGTGTGTGAAACTGTGTGTGCGTGTGAATGTGTGTGTGTTTGTGAATGTGTGTGTGTGTGTGAATCTGTGTGCGTATGTGCAGATGTGCGTGCATACGTGCTAATCTGTGTATGTGAATCTGTGCATGTGTGCGGATCTGTAGGCGTGTGTGCGGATCTGTGTGTGTGCGTGTGCAGATCTGTGTGCATGTGTGCGGATCTGTGTGAGTGTGCAGATCTATGTGTGTTTGTGAATCTGTGTGTGTGTGAATCTGTGTGCATACATGCAAATCTGTGTATGTGAATCTGTGCATGTGTACGGATCTCTGTGCTTGTGTGCGGATCTCTGTGCATGTGTGCGGATCTCTGTGCTTGTGTGCAGATTTGTGTGCTTGTGTGTGTGTGTGTGGATCTGTGTGCATGTGTGCAGATCTAAGTGAAAGAATGAATGAATGAGTGAATGAATGAATGAATGAATGAATGAATGAATGAATGAATGAATGAATGAATGAGTGAGTTTGAGGTATGGGTGGGCGAGTGTGAGGTGTGGGTGGGTGGGTGGGTGAATGAGTGAGTGAGTGAGTAGGAAGGTAGGTAGGTAGGTAGGTAGGTGGGTAGGTGGGTAGGTGGGTGGGTAGGTGGGTGGGTGGGTAGGTGGGTGGGTGGGTAGGTGGGTGGGTAGGTGGGTGGGTGGGTAGGTAGGTAGGTAGGTAAGTAAGTAGGTAAGTAAGTAGGTAGGTAGGTAAGTAGGTAGGTAAGTAGGTAGGTAGGTAGGTAAGTAGGTAGGTAGGTAAGTAGGTAGGTAGGGAGGTAGGTTGGGAAGTAGGTTGGGAAGTAGGTTGGGAGGTAGGTAGGGAGGTAGGTAGGAGGGTGGGTGGGTGGGTTTTGGGTGGGTGGGTGGGTGGGTGGGTGGGTGGGTGGGTGGGTGAGTGAGTGAGTGAGTGAGTGAGTGAGTGAGTGAGTGAGTGAGTGAGTGAGTGAGTGAGTGAGTGAGTGAGTGAGCAAGTGAGTGGGTGGATGGGTGGGTGGGTGTTTGGGTGGATGAGAGTGATTGGGCGATTGAGTGATTGAGTGGGTGAGTTAATTAATCGATTAACATGGAATAGTGAGAGTGGATGCTTGAATGTTTGAGTGAATGAGTGGGAATGTAAATAAATTGGGGTGAGTGGGTGAGCTGGTAGATAAGTAGATGGGTAGGTAAGTAGATAGGAAGGTAAATAGATATGCTTGTAAGTAAGTAGGTAGGTACATAAGTGGATAGGTAGGTTGATGGATTGGTGGGTGGGTGGATACCTACCCACCCATCCAGGTAGGTAAATAGGCAGGTAAATAGGCAGGTAAGTAGGTAGGTAAACAGGCAGGTAAGAAGGTAGGTAGATATAAAAATAGGTAGGCAGGTAGGAAGGTACTGAAACAAGTAGTTAGAGAGATAGACAGACAAATAGATGTGTGTGTGTGTGTGTGTGTGTCTGTGTGTATAGATACCCACAGATAGATAGATAGATAAATAGATAGACAGGTAGGTAGGTAGGTACTGAAGCAAGTAGATAGAGAGATAGACAGACAAATAGATGTGTGTGTGTATATATATAGATACAAACACAGATAGATAGATAGATATAGATATATATATAGAGAGAGAGAGAGATAGGTAGACAGGTAGGGAAGTATGTATGTAGGGAGGGAGGGAAGGAGGGAGAGAGGGAGAGAGGGAGAGAGGGAGAGAGGGAGGGAGGGAGGGAGGAGCAAGGGAAGGGAAGGAGGCAAGTAGGCAGGGAGGCAAGTAGGCAGGGAGGCAAGTAGGCAGGCAGGCATGCAGGCAGGCAGGTAGATAAGTAGAGATAAGTAGCTGGATAGATAAGCAGACAGACAGGTAGAAACATAGGTAGATGAGAAGGCAGGTAAGATGAACAGTAAGCAGAGATGTATATAGGTAAATAAGTTAACAGATAAACAAAAAGCCAGGTATTTGGGTAAAAAGCAAAATAGATAGATAATAGGTAAGCAGATATGTAGCTAAGTATATGGTTAAGTCAGCAGATAGTAGAGACGTATATGATAAAGTCAGTAGGCAGATAACATGAAAATGGGTTAGCAGGTAAGTATTTTAGTTATATAGATGCAAAGTAAGTAAACAGACAGATCTGCAGGTCTACAGGTAAATAGATAAGTTAGCATGTCATAACAGGTAGACAAGTAGGAATTGGTAAGTAGATGGAGAAGTAGGAAGGTAAATAGATAGATAGGAAAGGAGTATACAGGGAGACTACAAGCAGAAAAGAGAGATAAGATAGGTAAGTACATATGCAGGTAGGACAGATAGGGAGATGTGTTTGCATGTACCTGTTCTCCAATTTGTTCCTGTTAAGTATGAGTAATGATAAAAATCTGTCATGTATAAATGAAAAGATTTCTAATATCTGCAGCAAGATTTTATTGGTCCAAATGGAAAAAGCACTTCTCCTGCATGCAAATGGAAGCAGAAATGCAAAAATGGTTATTACATGCAATAAGCTTTACATTATTTTCAAATATAAAAAAGAAGGAGTATATCTATACTTTTTAATGGTTACCTTTGTATTTAAAAAAAAATGAAATAACTGCATTTCCTTTTTATTTGGCACAGAGGCCAAAAACAGCAAGAATATATATGTAAATGAGCTCAACTGTAAGAGGAAAACAATTCAAAAAATCAAAAACCCAAAACTCGAAAACTCTAAAGTACAAACAAGTCCAACCACAACACATTTCCGCTAAAAAGGAGACTTACTTGAGAGAGTCGTTATGGGTCTTGTATTCCATAACAGTAGTAGGAGGTAGGTTAAGAACACGCTTTAGGGTGTCCCGGATCTTTCCTGTGGTGATAGAGTCTTGCGCTGTGCGGTTCCAGACAGATATTATGTCCTCCTGCAATTACAAGGTTTATGTACAAGTTTTATCCAGCCTCGAGCAAAAGGTGACCTGAGGTATATAATATGTTCTCTTTCTTGCAACCTCTACCAATTATAGTCTGCCTGCACTTGTGTGAATGTCTGTATGTGAACTGACTTGAGTGTGTCAATATAAACAATGTACTATAACTTAATATTGAGGCAATTTTTTTTTTATTAGCACAATTAGACAATATCGCTTCCTGATCCAAATCCTATCATTTTCACTGAATCAGTTTGAAATGTGCAATTAAAGTAAAGCTAACAATTCTTCACAATGTTACATGTAAGAAGTGTGTTATCTGAGTCATGTAAGAAAAATAAATAAAATACATTAATATACTGGTTAACACACATGCTTCAAAACATTTTTTGTATATTGTTCTTGCACTGTCAACGTTACCACCTCTTCTCTTGGAATCAAGTCTTACCTGACACTGTGGCAACTGTGCAAACTTTCCATAGCAGTTATGCAGCCCTCTCAGATTACTTAATAAATACACAGAAAACTGATAAAACAGCTTACAGGGAAACAGATGTTATTTCCTTAAGGCATTTGTCACACTTTCTTATACATTACCTGCCACAGTTCTACAGCTATCCAGTTAACATGTTATAAATCCACTCACTTTTCTATCAATAAATGGAAAAATGTATATAAAGAATTGTGCACTCATATAGTATACACCTGACTATAAATCATAACTTATAACTAAAATCCATGTAGGCCATTTAACATTATAACCAGCAAATTCTTCAAAGTTTACTCTACATGATTCAGTGCATGTAATGGCCCATCCTTATTGCAAACTTCAAACATCAAACCAATAGATCTAGAATGTTATAACAATGAATATAGTATAAAGAGCTAAATCAACCCCATGAAGCCAGGAGTGCATATATACATGCACTATCCACTAATGCTTCATAAAATTTTAATCACAAAGAACTCATCACTAGACCTTCCTGATCTCAGCTGTTTATCCTTTTCCTTAACTTTTGGAAAACTTTTTTATCTTATTTTTACTGCCATTAGCCCATTGCATCTGGTACATCGCAGCTCAAACATGGACAAAAACCCAGGTATTATGTTACTAGAGTGATGACTCTTCTAAGAGTGTGGCATATAGACCAAGCCCACACACTCATTTACAGTATCAAGACTCCTAGCTTCCCATTTTCTGTATAAGCATTTTTTGTTTTCTTGCATGTACCCAGAGCCACTGGGTTAACTGGGGGCATAATGATTGATTTTTTTTGTTACAATTTTTCACTACTGTTACTTCTGTTACTTACATTAAAATAATGAAAATGAAATAATAACAAGCTGCCTACACATCACCCAAAATCTGGGCATTAGGTTTAGTTGAGTGGCCATTCTGATGGGAGTTTGGCTTGTACGAATACTCATGGGCAGTGGCAAGACTCCTTGCCTTCCATTTGTAATGTTAGTATCTCTTTTTCTGCAAAAGCATTTTTAGCTTTACCAATGCCTATATCTGTTATTTGGTATACTGTATCCATATAGTAATAAACTGCTTGCAAATACTCTGTAACATCTCTCTAGGTAGACCATAACTAGGTAGACCATAAATTTTCTGCAATATAACCTGCACAGTAATAGGATCCCAAGCATGATAACAATGGCCTAGAGCCAGTCATGGCTCACAGATGGTACATTCCACAACTGTTTATCGATGGGAATAATGTAAGAGCCCCTTCCTAAATGCCTGCTGAGTCTAATCACCCTCCAAGGCAAGTTATTCCCATCACCTCAACCCTCGGTCAAATTTTTCATGATGGCATGTTCACGTCCCTTGCACCTCAAGCCAATATTTTTTCATGATGTGATAGTCACATCATCTTGATTATATGGGTTTATAATGATAATAATGGTAATAGAAGGAAAAATTTCTCCAACAATCATTCAAGAAAAGTTTCAGGTTGGCTGGTTACTGAATACTTGGCTATTAAACAGTTCCAAAAACATCTCTCTGAATATACCAGCATCAAAGGCTTAAACAAAGCTGATCTTCATTAATCTTACAGGAATTCAAAGCAACATCAAAAGTCTAGTTTAGTTTGATCATCTCTTATTAATCAGTTAGACAACTTACTATACCCTACCATATCTATATCAAATCTGCATATTAAATATTTAAAAATTAAAGCCATACCCATTTACAAACCACAGATTCTAATCAACACATTTAAGTAATACTTGGACTCACCTGGAAGCGTACAGATATAACAGCTCCACAGATTTCATCACCAACCATAAACTGCTCACCAAGCATTGCCAAGATCATATTTTCCCAGCAACGCGAAGCAAGTCCTTTCCTTAAACGTACAATCCATTTCCCACCGTTTTTATTAGCCGAATCCTGGCAAATAATGAAAGATTTTATCATGTTCTAAACCATCACAATATTCAAAATGTTTAAATCTATCATACTCAAAATTTGAACTTCTTCAATCAAGACAAAAGAAAAGATCGGTGTGTTCTAAGGCTTACCTCCCACATGGGTTTGATTCCATCTTTAAAAATATGTATATCGGAGTGTGAAGGAAGATCGACTGGCCGCAAACAGCGGCTGTAATATCCCCAGAATTGTTCCACTGAGGCAAACCTTTGCAGGAAGGATGAAACAGAAAAGTGTTACATCAGAATAAAATAAACAGCCATATCCTAATTAAGGCATTTGTATGAATAAGAAAAATAAAGGCAACTTCATTTTTACATCCACTAAATGTTCTTAATTTTTGACGGTGAAAACCAAGTGCTTGCAGTTACCTGGCTAATAATTGAAGATTTTGGTCGTAGTTTTGTGTTGTTGCCTGTTTGCCTGGTGCCCTTCTGCTGAACCAAAGAGAATATGTGTACTGAAGAGGGTGCTCGCCTGGTTTTACCTCCACTTGTGGCTGAAAAAGAACATTCATAGGTGTCAACTGTTGGATTGCTTTTTCTGGGTGTCAGGGGATGTATCTAGTCATTCCTAGCACATTCTTTTTTTAACTATATCATATGTATTTTAAAAACCATGGTCATGTACACTACCTACCAGTGGTTTGTCTTTCATATCTCGGCTTCCACTGTCTTCTTCCCCGGAGTCATCATTGGATTTTAGGCTAAAAAGAAAAAGAGAGAATATGTAAAATCACAATAGGATAACAAAAAAAATCCTAGATGAAGCTTTGAACAGCCTACATACACTAAAAAAGATATTATGAATAAACACACCAAAAGAAAGGGATTTATGATAAGGTTGAAACTAACAGTCTTGGAAAGGAAAAAATATCCATACACAGTGATGACAGAACAAGAACAGAAATAAATCAAAACAAAATTATATCAGCACATCTTCACAGATCAAGTCGACACAACCTCACTGACAATCAGCCCTGGGAAGGTTTGCCATTAATAACAAAAGCCACAGTGCTCACATCAGTCATCACAATTATTGTTCCCCCTTGACTGCCTTGAACCAACCCTAAAAGTTTGTAAATCTAAGACTGTACTAGAGAACATTATTTCACATATAGTATGCTACAAAGGTTTGTTCTCCTGATCATTGGTTGGCTGCCAGTGAAGAGTTGCAATTACTGGTGTCGTGGAAACTCAATCTCAATTACTCAATGGGATTTCTTGTGTTGAACACTCAGCACTATCAACAGTAAGAGCAAAAAAAAAAAAAAAAGTTCCATTATACATTTTAGCTTAGAAAAGCCTTACATGTACACCAAAACACACATTAAAAATTAATTGTTGCTGCATAACCCTTTAACCTTCATAGATGTGTCTAATAATGTAAGCAAATCCAACATTCAGGGCAAGAAATAAATTATAAACATACATACATCCCACACTTAACCATTATTGGAAAATATGGCCTATCCACAAGGGGTTAAAAATAACACTTTATTAACCCAATGGCGCCAGGTGTACAAAAGAAAAAAAAAAAACTCTACGCTTAAACAAACAAAGGCGGCACGCCGACTTTGAGCGCGTGAGTAGGGGACATCAGCCCGAATCACTGGCTCGCCGCCGGCTCGTTCGGCTGCAAGGGGACATCAGCCCGAATCACTGGCTCGCCGCGCTTTGGCGCGCCGCCGGCTCGTTCGGCGGCACGCCAGCTTTCGAGCTCTTTGTGTACACGCCGATCGGCGTCACCCGGCACCAAGGGGTTAAAATTCCTATCATACATGACTTGGCAGGTTTAGTTTAATTTTTGGTTAGAATTAGGTAACTGCTCAAAATATGACTGCAGGAAGCAATGCCAAAGTCACCACACAAACAGCTCTGGAAAAGCCAACAAATCATTAACCACATGCCACCGGGAAAAATGAATAAAAAAATGGGGAAAATGCTGTGCTCAAATTTTATTTTTTTGTGAAATGTCTCTGCACATAGATGAACTGGTGGGAAAAAATGTATCTTTTACTAGTGCTATGAATATTGATGGTGTTATTTTTATTATAAATATTATAATTACCATAATGTTATAAACATTAATAACAGCAATACAAGATAAAGTAAAGTATTTTCGTGACTCAAGGAAAAGGGTGCACAGGCGAGACAGGCAGTACTCGTAACTGGCTCATTGGTGACTTCGTACAAGTATAGCAGTGGGCATGGCATAAACATACAGGCCATGCACTGTGCCAAGTGGCTGTTGCTTCTCCATTCATGCATGGATGACTTAGAGCAGTCAGAGCACATGTACTCTACTCCTACAGGAACTTTACCCCCAAGCTCCTTAATTACCCTAGATAGCCCTAAAACCCTTCTCCCCTACCTAAACTTTATCCCAATTGTCCTATCCCTGAGTCCTCAGCCACACCACTGGAGCCTAGTGACAAGACATTCTCAAACATGAACTTGCATCTGACAGTTAAGTATCTATCACATATTAAAATCCCAGGGAGTTAAACTGAATCTCATGTGGCACTAAATCAAATTCCAACATATCATGAATATAAAATCATCAATTTTGTAAACTAACCAAATTTCAGACCCAAAATACTTGTTTGGAACTTTGATATATAGATGGTTAGTCTGGCAAATGCACACCCAAGATTTCCCTGTTTATCAAGATGTAGATGCCATAACCTTCACACCTTCAGAGCCATTACAAATATCAATAAAATTTTAAACATATATTAAGTAAGACCGAGCTTGGACTGGTTTTTTTACTTAATCCCTCAGTGACAGTATTAGTAATCTCTTTCCACTCGACACGCTCTAGTGTGTCACCACACGTATAGCTGTACCTGGCAGATCAAGCAGTTTGTTATGAAGGCTAGACATGTGCCCCGGCAGCCACGGGTTAATGGCAAAACACCATTGTGATCTGTAAGCCCTATATTGCCCAAAATATGTGCAGTGGAGATTTGCCGCCCTCTCGCCAAAGTGCAGACAGGACAGATGCCATAGCAAGCATTTCAGTCACGGTGAGTGGATCTTTGATAAGCTTTTGAACATTTACCTTCACTTTCTGCAAATAATTTGGTTCTTCAGTATATCTTACCGAGAGCAATGCACCCTCCAGAGACAAAGTCCCAAATCCAAGATAACATGCGAACCCAAAATTCAAAACCTAACTTTCCTACTTTCTATTTACTCCCTAGACAGGGGGCAAGGCCCCCTGTACCCCCCTTTATTAACCCCTTCACGACGGGTGATGCCGCTAGACGTGAAAACAAACTGTTCAAAAACTGGTGTGCTACTGTACGCCACGGCGGCGCGAGCTGGTGATTCGGCCTGATGTACCAAACTCCCGCGCTTCCTACTCTATTTTTTATGCTCTACAAGATGGCAGTGTCAATTTCCCTCTATCTCAGTGCATCACTCTCGGAACATTAACCAGTTCATCTCTATCTATGCATAGGTCCTAGATAAAATCAGGAAGAGATTTTAACCCAATAACGCCGGGTGTACAAAAGGAAAAAAAAACTCTACGCTCTGGCAAACAAAGGCGGCGCGCCGACTTTGAGCGCCGGAGTACGGGGCGTCAGCCCGAATCACTGGCTCGCCGCGCTTTGGCG